TTATTTAGCTGAGGGATCTTAAAAAGTTGTAGTTTCTCTGAGTGTCAGTTTTTTCATCTAAAAAATGAGGATGATGATAATATCTATTTTGCAGATTTAATGATTAGGAAAAAATGTGTATAGACTGTTTGATACAGATGTTCAGTAATTGTTACCTTTAATATTATCATTATCCTATGTTCATCTGTATGTGTTGTTCATGTGCAATAATTAGTAGGGTGCCTACCCTTCTAGACATCAAAACCTCATGTGTTGTAATGGTGGATTGGGGGCAGTGTTAGCTTTTAGAAACATTAAGGATTTTAATTTTATATTTGGAAAATGAAAAAATTCATATTTTTATGATAGAAATTGCATGTCAATCACATTCTTCATGGTTAATGATGATATGTAAAAAATTTGATCTAGGCATACCATCCTGGGTTTTTTTCAGTTTCTGTTGAAGAACCGAGGTCTTTTCCCCACAGTCTGAGAATTGAACTTTCATGGAGAAGTTCAGCATATTCCTCTGTCCTCTGCATTTCCTGGAAATTGGCAGCTGGATCCAGAGACTTTACCAGACTGAGGTTCAATCCCTTTGGGAAGTCTATAGGTGGTGGTGTGTTCTTTCATCAAACGGCACAGGATGTCTGGTTTTGCTCTTCCTTGAGGTTAGCAGCTCTCGATGTTCAATGTCTAGATCCGTGAATTCATTTGAGTTGTAAAATATTAGACTAGATGTTCCAGTTCTCCCATTGTTTTCATTTGTTACCTGGAATAACTTTATAAGTAGAGACGTGTCCCCTCATCTACTATTTTCTTCCTAAGTGGTAAAGTCCAAATAGAAAAGATGAGAAAATCCTTGTACTTAACCTAGTTTTCACAATTCTTAGTTCAGATGATGACCAGTTTACTATTATGAACTTGTGGATTTTAGTATTTTGGTGGATTTAAATATCTGTTGCAATTTAATTCATATTTTTATTAGAAACTCAGTTGTTCCTTTGTTCTGTGGGAACCTTTTCAGTTTGTTTCTTGGGCCCTTTTAACATGACTCTACATTAGTCTTTGATAGCTTCCTTGCTGTTTTGTGTGATAAGATGTTTCAGGCTCATTTTGTGCCATTTCCTGCTTCAGAACTGAAATCAGTCATTTTCTCTAAGAAGCCCTCCTATTTTATTTTTAAAGTTACTTCTGGCTTTTTTTTTTTTTAATGGGAAGTAGTGTTTTAAGACTCCAGTCTAGGCACTAAAAATACTTACTGCTTCTCAGTTTGTCATTGTTTTTTCAATGGATAGAGCTAGGAAAATATATTTACTAAGGCAAAATACCCTGTAGGTTCATAGTAACACTTTTGCTTGAAATTCAAGGTTAGTTTTTACTTAATTTCTTAATTAATTTAATAATTCTTAATTTCTTTTGTGTTATATGTTTGNGAGTTGGACACGACTGAAGCAGCTTAGCAGCAGCAGCAGCATTTTTGCTAAAATTAAAATCTTTAACTTGCCTTTTCTTTCCATAAATACCTCAAATCTGTAACTCCATTTTTTTTCCCCCTGGCAAAAATATTACTGTTGAAAAGTCTGACAGTCTTTTTGTTGTTGTTGTTGGCTTATAAGTCACACGATATTTCTGCCTAAATCTCAAAGAATTTTAAAAAATTTTACTAGAATGTCTTGCCGGTCATTTTGGGTTGATATTCTCAGGTACCTGATGGCTTCTTTCAATATGTTACTTCAGATCTTTAAAAAATTTTTAGATAAGTGCTCTTGGATTTTGTTTTTTGTGTGTGTGTGTTCTGTACCTTTGCTTTGGTTTCTTTTTCAGGGAATCCTACTATCCTCATTGCCTATGTTCAGTATTTATCACTTCTCTTGATTCCCTCTTTACTATTTATTTCTTTGAATTTTTTAAAGAAACAAATTATTAGGAATAATTTTAAATTTATCATAGAAAGTATACAAAGATAATTCAAAGTTCACTGTACCCCTCACCCAGTAGTTTCTAATATTAACATGTTACATTAGTAAAACGCATTTGTCAAAATTAGGAAACCAACACTGGTGCACTACTATTAACTAAACTCCATACTTTGGATTTTACTCCTTTCTCCATTGATGTCCTTTTTGCTGGTATAGGGTCTTGCCTTGATGTTCATGGCTGCTGACTGATCAGAGTGGTAGTTGCTGAAAGTTAGAATGGTTGTGGCAATTTTTAAAAACGAGGCAGCAACGAACTTTGCTGCATCGATTAACTCTCCTTTCATGAGCAAGTTCTCCATAGCATGCAGTGCTATTTGATAGCATTTTACACACAGTAGAATTTCTTTGAAAATTGGTGTAGATCCTCTCACACCCTGCCACTACTTTATCAACTAAGTTTATGTAATATTCTAAATGCTTTGTTGTCATTTCAGTAGTCTTCATAGTTTGTTCACCAGTAATAGATTCCATCTCATGAAACCACTTTCTTAGCTCATCTAGAAGCAGCAACTCCTTGTCTGTAAAAGATTTATCTTGAGATTACAGCAATTCGGTCACATTTTCAGCCTCTACTTTTGATTCTATTGATAGTTCTCTTACTGTTACCATCACAGTTGCACTTACTTCTTCCACAAAAATCTTGAGCCCCTTAAAGATCATCAGTGAAGGTTGGACTTGACTTCTCCCACACTCATGTTAATGTTTGTGAAAATGAGACAAGACAAGGAGGTCATTAATCACAGACCAGTGACTAGGGAGATAAGGGTTAATTTATAAGATTTGACCTATAAATTATTTTGGCCTCAGCTCCTTTCCCTGGAGATAACAATATTATTTTCTTCATGGTATAGAGAGAACGTCTTCCATGTGAGTGTTTTAGCTCTTCCTTTTAGGAAGAGAAGGGGAGACCTGCATACTCTACCTGTACCTGTTGTTTTCCAGCTGTCTTTAGCTCAAAAATAATCCTTATGCCTAGTGGCATATTTTGGAATGAGTGGCACATTCTGCTACCCTTTGGTTCCCCCTTCTTCCTTGGATGACTATGAATCTTGTGGCTTTGGTATATTTTATATATCCATGTTTACTCTGGAGTTTGTGGGAAACTTTGTCTCATTATTTGTTACTTGCTTGTTTTGGTAAAGACTGTCTATGGGTTTTTAAAATTTTGTTATCTAGTTGTTTTGTCTATTTTTGTATGGGAATTTAGGAAGATCCAAAAGGTATGCTGTCTGCTACTACCATCTTCTCAGAGTCCCATCAGTTGGTTGTATTTTTTTTTTTTTCTGCTATTATTCTCAACAGAGTTTGAAAAATCTGAAGATAAAGTGATAATGTTTGGTAAGTTAGGTTCTATTATGACTCTTTGATTAGTACAAATTTCTGTGCCTAATAAAGACTCTTTAGTTATAGTGTTCATTTCCTTCAGTAATGGTTCCTGCAGAAAGTTGAATCGCTAGAGTTGAAAAGAAAGTTTAGAGTCTGTGTCCTGGTGAGTTTTGTTTGTTTTTTTAACAACTGTATTTATGAGTCTCATAATTTGATGAGTGATTATTATGTTTCTTCAGTTCAATCACTCAGTTGTGTCTGACTCTTTGCAATTCCATGGACTGTAGCATGCCAGGCCTCCCTGTCCATCACCAACTCCCAGAATTTACTCAAACTCATGTCCATTGAGTCGGTGATGCCATCCAACCATCTCATCCTCTGTCATCCCCTTCTCCTCCTGCCTTCAATCTTTCCCAGCATCAGGGTCTTTTCAGATGAGTCAGTTCTTTGTACCAGGTGGCCAAAGTATTGGAGTTTCAGCTTCAGCATCAGTCCTTCCAATGAATATTCAGAACTGATTTCCTTTAGGATGGACTGATTGGATCTCCTTGCAGTCCAAGGGACTCTGAAGAGTCTTCTCCAACACCACAGTTCAAAAGCATCAATTCTTCGGCCCTCAGCTTTCTTTATAGTCCAACTATCACATCCATACACGACTACTGGAAAAACCATACCTTGGACCTTTGTTGACAACGTAATGTTTCTGCTTTTTAATATGCTGTCTAGGTTGGTTGTAGCTTTTCTTCCAGGGAGCAAGTGTCTTAATTTCATGGCTGCAGTCACCATCTGCAGTGATTTTGGAGCCCAAGAAAATAGTCTCTCACTGTTTCCATTGTTTCCCCATCTATTTGCCAAGAAGAACATGGGACCATGTTCTTAGTTTTCTCAGTGTTGAGTTTTAAGCCAACGTTTTCACTCTCCTCTTTCACTTTCATCAAGGGGCTCTTTAGTTCTTCTTCTCTTTCTGCCATGAGGGTGCTGTTATCTGCATATCTGACGTTATTGATATTTCTCCCAGCAATCTTGATTCCAGCTTGTGCTTTATCTAGCCCCGCATTTTGCATGTTGTACTGTGCATAGACGTTAAATAAGCAGGGTGACAATATACAGCCTTGACGTACTCCTTTCCTGATTTGGAACCAGTCTGTTGTTCCATGTCCAGTTCTATCTGTTACTTCTTGACCTGTGTATAGATTTCTCAGGAGGCAGGTCAGGTGGTTTGGTATTCCCATTTCTTTCAGAATTTTCCACAGTTTGTTGTGATGCACACAGAGGCTTTGGTATAGTCAATAAAGAAGTAGATGTTTTTCTGGAACTCTCTTACTTTTCCGATGATCCAGCAGATGTTGGCAATTTGATCTCTGGTTCCTCTGCCTTTTCTAAATCCATCTTGAACATCTGGAAGTTCGCGGTTCACATACTGTTGAAGCCTAGCTTGGAGAATTTTGAGCATTACTTTGCTAGTGTGTGAGATGAGTACAATTGTACTGTAGTTTGAACATTCTTTGTCATTGCCTTTCTTTGGGATAGGAATGAAAACTGACTTTTTCCAGTCCTGTGGCCGCTGCCAAGTTTTCCAAATTTCCTGGCATATTGAGTGCATCACTTTCACAGCATCATCTTTTAGGATTTGAAATAGCTCACCTGGAATTCCATCACCTCCACTAGCTTTGTTGGTAGTGATGCTTCCTAAGGCCCACTTGACTTCACACTCCAGGATGTCTGGCTCTAGGTGAGTGATCACACCATCATGGTTATCAAGGTCATGAAGATCTTTTTTCTATAGTTCTTCTGTGTATTCTTGCCAGCTCGTTTTAATATCTTCTGCTTTTGTTAGGTCCCTACCATTTCTGTCCTTTATTGTGCCCATCTTTGCATGAAATTATGTTCCTAAGCACTTGTATATGACTCTTACATTGCCATCTCAGTAGTTATATATGTAGTTATATATGGTCCTATGTTGCCCTCCTAGGAATGATTCTCTCTTCCTTTCCTGTTTTATGCATCTTTTCAAAATGCCATATACTGCTTATCTTAGTAACCAGTTACAGAAACAAAGAGCTTCCCTGGTAGCTCAGCTGGTGAAAAATTGGCCTTCTTTGCAGGAGATCCCGGTTCTATTCCTGGGTTGTGAAGATCCCCTGGAGAAGGGATAGTCTACCCTCTCCACTATTCTTGGGCTCCCCTGGTGGCTCAGACGATAAAGAATCTGCTTGCAGTGTGGGAGACCTGGGTTTGATCCCTGGGTTGGGAATATCTCAACCCAGTCCAGTTTTCCTGTCTGGAGAATCCCCATGGGCAGAGGTGCTTGGCAGGCTACAGTCCATGGAGTCACAAAAAGTTGGACATGACTGAGTGGCAAAGCACAGCATAGAAGCAAATGTCTTGCCATTTCTTAATTAGGGACCGTAAAAGTAAACGAAAATAAGTAAAAGAAAATGATAGCAGAGTCTAGTTTTATTCAAGTACTTATTTTGTGTTATAGCTTTTACATTTCTGTTTCTTCCTGCTGAGGATTTTAAAAGCCAAATAATATTTTGTTAATCAGCATAAAATTTACCATAATTGCATATGATAATGCTATGCACAGTCCAGTTTATTTTTATTTTTCCTATAAGAACATTAATATTCTTACTTTTAAGGGCTTTATGGACTGGCAAGTGTTACTGGTCTAAATGAATGAATGATTAAATAAATAAGGAAGAAAAGAGAAAGAGTATGTGTGGGGGTCTGGGTTTCAGGTTATCTGTTTCTTCTTAAGTGAAATTTGGTGGCTTGTTATCTTTCAAAGCCTAGTTCATCTATGTTGACTAATTTATAGGCATAGAGTTATAGTTTTCCGTAGGTCAGTAGTAATGTTTCTTTCCTCTTTCATATCTGATGTTAATAATTTTTGTCTTCTCTCTTTTTTTGTTGTCAGCCTAACTGAGCTTTGTGTATTTTATTCATTTCTTCAAAGAATCAGCTTTTGATTTTATTCATTTTCTCTTATTTTTCTATTTTCAGTTTTATTAATTTCTGCAGGTAAAAAGAAAAACATTTGTTGAACGGTGGAGTGTATTTGACAAATTAGAAGTAGACAGTAGCCTGACAGGGGAAAGAATAGTTAGAATTCCATGTTTGCCCATGAAATTATGATTAAAGAAAACCTGTAAGCATTAAAGATAACCTTTAGGTATATTATTTTGCACTAACAATTATGTATTTGTATTTCATTTAAGAAATATTAGTGATGGTGCTTAAAAATCTCTGTGTAGTTATCACTGAAGAGAACAGTGTTTACTACACTGTACATACTCAGAAGCCTTTTTAAAACCATCAACTTGCTGTGTAGTCTAATATATATATGTATATCACCTGCACAGTTTTCTTATTTCACTTATAGATGATACAGTTACCATCATAGGAGAAACATGTATCCATTTGACTGATTTTTGTTTTCTTTTCTTGCAGAAATGCTGAGTCGACTGTCAGGATTAGCAAATGTTGTTTTACATGAATTATCAGGAGATGACACTGATGAGAATATGAGGGCTTCCTTAGAACCTGTGAGTAGCTCTTTTCTGAATTAAACTGATGAGATGTATATTCTATGTTCTTCTGATGACAAGAATTTAAGATGAAAGACTGTGAGCAGCCTCCCTTATGCTAGGTGTAAGAGAAGATTAAGAAAAATATTGAGACTTTGTAAATGATCCTTTTCCTGTAAGGTTTGTAGCCTAAAAGGACCAGTAATGGAAATCAAGTCCTGGATAAGATTAGAAAGATTGTCTTCATTTGTCCCCCTGGGGCTTGTTTAGTACTAGATTGTTTTAACTCAGGTATGTTCTCTTGTTTCACAGGAAAGGTCTGAAACAAAAAATGGAGCAACTTTCTGGTTTCAGACTGTTTGCCATTATAAACTCATCTAGCCCTTCTCTTATTGTGTGTATTGTAGTTTTTGAAGGTCACATAGGAATCAAAGAAAGTCGTTTCACTTTCTGAAAAGACAAGCAGTATTCCCTGGTGGTTAAGAGAATTTTATTCACCAACTCTTTTAATTTTAAATTTTGGTCTCTTTCACTTACTGTTATGTGACCTTTGCTTCCCTTTATTTTTCTCTTTGGTAAAATTAGTATGATAAGACTGTAAGTGAGATAATGTTTGTAAATGGTTAACATTTGCAAAATAATATGTATTGCAATGACTCTGATAATTATTGGATAATAATAATGTTGGGTAATTATTATTGAAAAGATTTCTTTTTAAAATTAAACCGTTTAAAAAATTTTTATTTCCCATGCCAGGTAAGTGTGAGTATGTCTCTGTCCACCCCCACACAGCATCAAATGCCTTATAGTATACATACACACTCACTTCACTCCCCCTCCCTACCTACCCTTCCTCCTCCACCCTCAGCCATCCTCTACACCCACTTCTTTTTTGCAACTCTCATCCATTCCAAACAGCTCTTCTAATAAAACCCAAGCAACATCTCTGGAGGGTTTCCCCCAGCCTAAGGAATTCAGTCCCAGAGAATTATACCACTAGATTGCAAGATTTACATAAGCCAAGCCCCATTCTTGACACCTAAGGCCCCTTCTTTCCTCCAACCCGTACTCTGCCCTTGAACCCCCATCTCCTCGGAAAGATTTCTTAAGTAAGGACAAGAGATAAGATGAAGTTGGAATGAAGAAACTCCTGTTGGGAAGCTTATACCTTTTCACTCGTAAATTGGCAACCTTTTGTCTAAATACCAGGAATTGCCCCAAGAATCTGACATGGAATTTAATGATAGAACACAAGAGGATGTTCTGGAGCGCCTGGCTAATGTAGAACAGTTGGTGGTGGAACTAAAAGAAATCATTAGACAGAAGGATGCTGAATTGCAGCAGAAGGATGAAGTTCTACAGGTACCATTGTCCTTTCTTGCCAAGCATTTGATAAAAGACAGATATAAGAGTTAACTTCAGTTTTTCTCTTCACTTAGATGATTAGAGAATCTGATTTCCCTAATACTGTAAGATGATGCCTCCTGAGAATAACTTTTGTTATATACTGGATAAATGATGAATAAAAATTTGTGTATTTACCATCATTGTTCTCTGATAGGAAGAAAGAAAAGCTGCTGATAACAAAATAAAAAAGCTAAAACTTCATGCTAAAGCCAAATTAACTTCTTTGAATAAACACATAGAAGAGATGAAGGCACAAGGAGGGACTGTTGTGTCCACAGAACCTCAGTCAGAGGAGCACCTCTCCAAGGTATAGTGACTGGGTATAATATATACTTTCTGAGGAGCAAAAGCCTCTCATTGTCACTAATCACAAAAATTTATGAAGTTGAAGTAATACAGCACTAAATGCTGTCCTTTTATTGAGCTCACAGTCTAACTGGGCTATGGACCAAGCACAGAATAAAAGGCCAACAAAAACATGGAAGTTAAATATCAGTTGTAACCTACACTTGCAGAGAATTAAAAAGGCTAACAAGAAGAAGTGAATATTGAAGTGAGGCATTTAGCTTTTGAATCCTTGGTTAGAAGAGTAAACTAGGTGATCTCTAAGGTTTCTCCCAGCTCTGAAATTCTTTTTTTTTTTTTTTTTTTGTATAATGGGCTCCAGTTTCATCCATCTCATTAGAACTGATTCAAATGAATTCTTTTTAATGGCTGAGTAATATTCCATGGTGTATATGTGCCACAGCTTCCTCATCCATTCGTCTGCTGATGGGCATCTGGGTTGCTTCCATGTCCTGGCTATTATAAAAGTGATAGACTATGCTTTGTCTTCATGTGGCCACATAATAGTACTTTGAAGTTTCATGCATTGTGGGCTTAATCAGCTGGATTATCTTAGGCTCCAGTAAGGGATGCGCTCTAGATTTATGACTGCCGCCAACAAACAGTTTAAGGTGGAAGATAAGAGAAAGGAGTAAGCAAAGTGTTGCCTTTTGAGAAATTGAGCACTGTTCCAGTACTTGTTCTTACTATCTTTCCCAAATATGCACATTCAGTCAGCTAGTTAGAGAACAAGAAACTTTTGGCAAATTTGGTATAGAATAAAAAGAGACCAGCCCCATCAGATATACACATTACAGTTGGCTTAGATGTCACTCTGTATAAGAGATCTTTTAATTTGTTTTAGCTTTCACCATGTTTTAGTTTTTGACTCGCTAGTATTCTTATCCACAATGATTTTAGTTCTTGGAAAATGAGACTTTAATCAATTCTTTAGGCATAACCCTTGGGTTGCTAGTACCCTAGTTAGTCTTTCCTTCCTGAGTCTAATGCTCAGAAGATATTACTTTTCCTGCATTGATAGATAGCCTTATTTAGCTTCTCAAAGCTGATTTTAGAAGCTTCTCTTATTCTCAAATAATGCCTTCATCTGGATTCTTCTTTTCTTACTTACTGGTTTTTCCTCTCATTATTCTCTCTTCCCCCTGGCTGTCGTAGCACCAGCCTGTCGCTCCCCATGTGACTTTGTTTCTTCTAACTTCTCCCTCTGCTGTGTTGTTATATTTTTAAATTATCCATTTTATACCTGCCCCCCCCCCTTTTTTAAAGCTCTGAGACCTTAAACAAATCAGCATCATGTAGCTTCATTTCCTTCCTCTGTTAAATAAAAAGGTTGGATTAAATGATTTCTAAGTTTCAGCAATCAGTCACAGCAGCTCTTTAAACTATTGTTTACCCATGACAGAGCTTGACAGTCTCTGGAAAGTATAGTTGAAGAAATGATGGCAATCCTCAGATACTTGACAGACTGTTATGTGGAAGAAAGTGTAAAATTATTCTGTGTGGTTCCAGTAAGCAGAATAGGTTCATTTTGGAGGGCAAGGAGTGGTGGTGAATTCAGTTGGGAGGCAGAATCTGGTTCAGTCAAAAGAAGAGCTTTTGGGGGAAAAAAAAAGACTGTTGAAAGATTTTAATTCCTCTCCTCCTTCCGTCTCTTTTATGATTTTTTGTCTTTCACTTAGCAGCTGTGTTTTCCTGAATTCTGTCCTCTAGTTCTTCAAGGCAGTGGTATTATGAGTTTCATGTTAAGTTTTAGTCCTGTATGGCACTAACTGTTTTTTCCCTCAGACTAAAAACTATAAAAATAGGAAATTTGGTGTCATTTCTTCCAGGTATTGACTTCCCTCTGGTATCCTCCTGCTTCTGGTTATTCTCCATCATTTTCAGATAGCTATTTGTCTATCTTGTCCAGTTTATGGTGCGGAAGGATGGGTCTGACAGGAACGTCTTGGCCGTACTCAAATTCGAAAACTCTAAGATTGCTTCCTTGTTATTAGGTCAAGTGTTATTTTTTGCTCCCATTTATTGGATAGCACTATAATCAAGGAGCTGTATAGGGCAAATTAGATTCTTTTAAATAAATAACTTTATTTTCTGCGTTTTCAGCATGACAAGAGTTCTACAGAAGAAGAGAGAGAAGTAGAAAAGATAAAACATAAGCTCCAGGAGAAGGAGGAACTAATTACCAGTTTGCAAGCCCAACTTTCCCAGGCACAAGCAAACCAAGCTACACAGGTAGGGGTGTAAGTTACCTCATAATCATTAAGTTAATAAATCACTAAAGCTCAATGGAGTATTATACTAACTAACAACAATAGTCATGTAATATTTTTCTATGTCTCTGTCAACTCCTTCCTTCCTTGTTCCCTTCCCTTTTCTTTCCTCTTGTCTTTCCTTCTCCACTAAGTCTAGTAATTCTACTAGACTGTGCATTGGTGTTTATCTTCCATGGTTGATATTTGTAGATAGCCAAATTTCTTTTTCAATACATGGTTTCACACATTTTATTTCAGAAGAGTTTTCTTGTAGTATTTGGTCTGTTTTCTTCCTTAGGGACTTCTGTTAGCCATATATTCCACCTTTGATTGTCTTCCATATTTGTCACTTTCAGTCCCTTTTTATCTCTTCCTTTTCAAAAGTTTCTTTTTTTTTTTTCTTCTTTAAGGCATTCTATTTCGTGTTTATTTACTTTTGTAAATAAATTGTTTTGTGTTCAAAATAAATTGTTTCATGTTTTATGTTCTTTTCAGAACTCATTTTGATTCAAAAGAATCAAATTTTTCCTGAATTTTGTCACCTCATTTCTGAGTTTTTCTAATTCTGATTTTAAAACTGTTCTTTTGTGTCATATCTAATTTTCTTATTTTTAAAAAACACCTTTTGAAATAGATTGCAATTTTGACTTTGAGCTTGCCTCTGGTATGCTTTTCTCGCCTGCTTGGTTTTCTTTTCTTTTTTTTTTAATGATAACTTTGGATGGGATTTGACCTGGATCCTTTTATGTTTCTTATTTTTGTGTGAAATTAATTTTCCTAAACTTTTTGAAGGAGGCTTGATTCAGGAAAATGTTTTTTATTTAACAGACTTCTCTTTTTTGTTATTTTTGTGTTGTGTTCAAAGATAAGGCAAGTGGATTTCTGAGGTTTCCTGGCCTTCCCCCTGCCCTTCACTCTGATCTATACCAACATTGCTCGATAGTAATATAATGTGAGTCACATGCATAATTTTAAATTTTTTAGCAGCTATATTGCAAAAGATAAAGAAGAAACAAGTAAAATTAATTTTAACAATTATTTCATTTAGCCCAGTATATTAAAAATATACTTTTTGGAAATATAAAAATTATTTTTATGTTAATTTACATTCTTTTTTCTGCACTAAGTCTGAAATTTAGTGTGTATTTTATATTATATCTCAACTTGGATGCTGGATTTTCATTGGAAATTCTTCATTTGTGTTTAGATTTCATAAAATTTCCAGTTGAGAAAACAGACTCAAATACTCAAATTGTTCTGTACATATTTAGAAACTTCTCTGTCACTGAACTGAGGGCCAGACATCATTGTCCTTTAATATTTGCATCCATGTTTAGAAACTGGCTAATTATTTAGGATAGTTAATTTGAAAAAAATCAACTTTAAAGCTACATGTGTGAGAAATGAAAGCACATGTTCACAAAAGGACTTGTTTATGCTTGTGCATAGCAGCTTTACTTGTGAAATCAAAAGCTAGAAATAACTTATCTGTCAGCAGAATATTTAAATACACAATGGGATACTAAGAAATAAAAGGAATGAGCTATGCATCAGAAGTACACCTTTATTTTAAATTTAAAAGTATATCTCTACTTATTTTTGAACTAGAAAAATAATAAAAGATATATTTATATTTTAATCCATTAAGTATATTATGATTTAATCATAATTATGATTTACATAGATGTCAGCTATTATTCATACTCTCTCCATTAAGTATTCAAGTAAGCACACCACATAGGTGTATAGGAAAAAAATCATTTAAATTGCATCAATCCATTGACACTGGCTGGATAGCTGATGTGTTTATTGTAACACTAGGAGCTGAGTCTTTTGGTGGTTTGTCCCTACCTACATGTATTTTAGGGTTTGTAGTACTGCCTTCCTAATTTTACTGTAAATATTGTCAATGAGTTTTTGGTTTTGTTTTCTAGTTGTACTGTCTGTTTCTGTGTGAGGATTCAGAAAATTAAAAAACTGCTCCCCTTGTTTTGGTTTCCCTCTGACAAGTAATGTTGGTAATTTTTTAAAAAAACCACAGTTCATGCAGTTCCCTTCAGTGTTAAATGGAAATTAGAAGGATATTGGTAGGTATTTAGGGCAAATGAAAAGGGAGGTCAGAGAATTAAGAGTGCCAGTTCTTTTGCTTAAATATTTGTTTCCTTCTGTGTCTTCAGTCTGCTAAGAGTTCAACAGAGATGGAAGAATTTTTAATGATGAAGCAGCAGCTCCAAGAGAAGGAGGAACTCGTTAGCACTTTGCAAGCCCAGCTTAGCCAGACGCAGGCCGAGCAAGCCGCTCAGGTATGGTGGGAGGTGCCTGAGGCTCATTAGAGTAAAGAACTGTGAGAGTTTAAGGGGAGGGGGGGGCCGGAATATGTATACTCACACTTGATTTGTATTGTTGTACAGCAGAAACAGAACGTTGTAAAGCAATTTTCCTCCAATTAAAAAAATAGAAAAAAATAAACAATGTAGCTCATGAAATATATGACAAAATGGAAAAAAAAACAGCTTAAGATTATTACATGACAAGTCAATTCAGTCTATTTTTAAAACTTTAGTAGGTAAAAGTATAGTAACTAGAATGTTACAGTAGAAAGTAGAAGGGTGTGGTAGAAGAAGAAATTAGAAGTGTTATTTACCTTGATGAATACACCATAACCTAATTTGTGGCTGTTTCTTAGTTCTACAGGCCTACTTGGTTCTACAGTTCTGCTTGGTTTTAATAGTATACAAAGATTCAGTCTTTTAGAAAGGAATGAGCTTATGCTAAGTTCCAAAGAGACTGTTAGATAAACCCAAAAGAAATACAAATGACTAAGTCCATTCTTCATAGTAAAATCTTAATGAGAAGTTAAATTATAATCAAAATATTAGTGGTGAGAAGGTGGTACAAGTTATGTGGTTCAATGTTAAAAGGCACCAGTACTCAACTTTCTTCTTTATAGTTGTTTCTACTACCAGTACCAGAAATTATTCTGCTACCAGGACCAGTAGTTATTTCTGCTACTGTTTGAACTGCCATCCTCAATTCTTTCTATTTTTCTGAATTTCCCATTTGACCACACACTCTTTATTTTTCCTTTGATAATGCTCGAATGACTCAAGAAACATTTTTTCCCCTCAAGTGCCTTTGCACAATAGCTAATCTTATCCATTGGGTGTTTGGTATTTATTGATAACTTGTAGTATTAGTTGGTACTCTCTGTCTATGGATGATCTACTACTGTGTATAAATTTAAAATTGGATATTCTAAGATCTTAAGTTTTGCCTATTAGCTTTTATCATGTCCTTTTTTGTATACATTATACGATGTAGGGTGGGGAAATACAGAATATTTTTACCGAGTGGCTTACTACACAGAAAGCCAAGGTGTATGGGTATACATACACACACACACACATAAATGTATTAACTGATCCATCATAATATAAGCCATTCAGAGCAGCAATACAAAGTATTTTGTGAGGTGAAAGAGGTTACTGTGCATGTGACAACCAGGGAATCTTACATGGAAGACTCAGGATTTAGGTAAAATGATGGATAGATAATATAGTTTCAACAGGGTGGGGGAAGGGTATTCCAATTGTGGGGAATGGTGTGAGCAAAGTCTCAGGAAAAAGAGTATGGTACATTTATAGGAAAGGATGTGTAGATATGTTTGGCTGATGAAGGACTCCAGTGCCGATACATTTGAAACACAGGATTTCAAATTTAAAGTGACATCAAAATCCAGAGAATGGCAGAAACCAACAAAAGTCTGTAAAGCAATCATCCTTCAATTTAAAAACAAATAAAAGACACAATAGAGAAAAAAAAAACGTATCATGAAGATTTTTTTTCTCCTGCCTTAGAAGGAGAGCCAAGTTTGGTTCAAAGTGTCACAAATCGAACAATCAACAGTAACTGAAGGACCAGTGCAAAATGGGCAAGTGAAGAGCTGGTTAGCATGCTTAGCCACAGATCTTAAGGAAGTGAATAAGTGCATACACACACACACACACAACCTAAGAATGAAACAAAAACACTGATACCAGCAACTCACAACAGTCAGTTTATTTCCATTTCATTCAGTCGCAAATGAGGATGATCTAAAATCCTGCAAGTAATGATGCTTGAAAAGAGCTGTCTGGAGAGGCAGTGTGGATTGAATGGAAATATACCAAGTTCTTTGGTAGAAGCAATTCTCTGAAAATAAGACCTGAAAGAAAAACTTGTATTTCCAGTTGTAGAGAATCTTGAGTAGAAGATAACATTATTTTGAGGTTTATAGGGCATGAGAATTTCATTGAAAGTTTTTGACCACGAGTGTGATATTCAATGAGTTATCTAGGGCCGAACAGGAATCTAACTTTGTATGTTTAATATTCCAACCTCCTTAGATCTTTTAAAAATGTACCTCTTGTGTATTTAAACCCTGTATTAACCATTCTAATACAGTTTTTATTCAAAATTTATATTTAAGCTGACTTCTGAATATAATGACAGGCTTTCTCTCACATTTTGAAGTTACCATCAGGCCTAACTCTTTTCCAAAAATCTCATCCTTTGACATTCAAAATTTAATCTGAAATATCTATTGTCTTATCAGTTCTCGTGTCTATGTTTGGAGAACAGTCTGTGAGTTTCGTTTGTGTGATAATTCTGGGAGTGTAACTTGCATAGTTTCTCTGGTGTGTGTCTTCAGTTGAGTTCCATGCAGCAGGTGGTCCGAGAGAAAGATGCCCGCTTTGAGACACAAGTTCGTCTTCATGAAGATGAGCTTCTTCAGTTAGTAACCCAGGCAGATGTGGAAACAGAGATGCAACAGGTGTGTTGCTAAAACCTAGTAGAATGTTGTTTTAGTTAACATTTAATTAAGTTATCACAGCCACTTTTCCATCCTTGCCCACTGCTCTTAACTTGGTGTGGGTTTATTCATTAATTGCCTTCTTTTTGGTGCTCTTCTCTTCTGTTGCATATTAATTATTTATTTTTCTTTACCTTTTCTCTTACCCCTCTAATGAGATTGTCAGTACTCAAAAGCTGAGTTTAATTGGCAAATGTGTGTGGTAGTCAGAAATTGGTTTCTTTTCCGTTTGCTCATTGTAGCTACCTTTGTACATTAGAAACCTGATGCAAAACTTCAAATCAATGAAGTCAGTTTTAAACTTTAGAAAATTTAAAGAAAAAAAAGGAGTGATTTTGAAACCATAAAGCCTTTTATTAAATCATTCTTTAAAAAAAAATCATTGAGTAATTTTTGAAAATTGGCTTCATTGTTTTTAAGTTTGTCACCTACTAACTCAAAAGTATTTGTTTCTGTTTAATGTGTAAGGCAGTGTGGTACTCAGAGGCACTCCAGTGGTATTTTTTCATGGTTGATCCACTTAATTGATTTTGAGTGAAAACTTCTTCCATGTTCTAGCCAATCCTTCAGAATACATCACTAAATAAAGTTTCAGAATACAGCACTTTTTAAAGTTGATTATTAATATATACATGTATTATTGACTTATTCATTCAACAAATGTTTATCAAGTGCATGTCCCATGCATGAAACTAGAAGAGAAATAGTTCTTGCCTGTAGAGAATGTTCTCATAGGTGAGTAGGATATATGTGTACCTACATTATTTAGGTACAGGATCTTGACTATATAACTTTAAAAGTGGATATGTGTAATAAATATCTAACTATTAAAAAGGCCCCCTAATTCAGGGACTTGGCTTGTGTCAGTTTGGTTGTTGTTAGTGCTCTGGAGAAGACATTTTGGAGATTCTTTGTTGCTGCTGGTTGAGGAGAATGGCAATGTCTGACTCTTTAACCTGTCATCCCTAACATCCAGAAATCTTAGGATACAAGTCTACTTGACGTTTTGAAAGTAATCAGGTAATGATGCTCACGTGTTAGCACATTGTGTCTGAATGTTTCCTTCTCAGAAATTAAGGGTGCTGCAGAGGAAGCTTGAGGAGCATGAAGAAGCCTTGCTGGGCCGCACTCAGGTTGTGGACCTGCTGCAGCAGGAGCTGACCGCTGCTGAACAGAGAAACCAGGTACTGCCCTGTGATCTCTGCTGTCTGCCTCAGGAGCATTCATTTCCAATTTAGTTCGCCAGGGAGTAGGCATAAAATCCTATTAGAAGCCTTCAGAGAATTGATGCCGTTTATTCATTCTATCAACAAATTCCCTGTGCTTAAGTGGTGGTGATACTATGATGAGCAAAATGTTTACAGTTTTTTCCTCCATGAAACTTATATTTCAAGTCTTTTATTGTTGCTCTTTTCCTTTGTGATTTTAGGTCTAGGATCCTAGTTTCTTTAGAATGTGTTATTTTCCTCTGAAAGTCCATATTCTGTGCTTGTTCATCTGGGTCCTGCATGCTGCTGGAGAAAGTCATCTTCTTCTTTTCAGCTCTCCTTGAGAATGACTGTCTTTCTTGCAAAGAGACATGTTCTCGTATCTCCAGTCCTAACAAACCCTGACCCCGAGTCCCCTCCCTGGCTGTCATCACACAGTCAGGTTCAAATCCCAGTTGTGCTACTTACTAGATAGGTACTGTAGAAATAATTACGCATGTGTGACTTTATGGTAAATTTCCCTTGTCTGTTTCTTTTAATATCTTGTAAGTATTTCTTTTGGCCTCTAATGTTTTGTATTATACTGATCTGTTTAAGTGTGATGCTCCCACTAAACTCTAAATTCCTTGAGGGCAAGGACTGGATCCATTTATTCATTCATTTATTCAGTATTTATTGAGTACCAGGTACTTAGTATGCCGTATATTATGCTAGGTGCTGGAGAACAGTAATGGTAAAACAGGCCCAGTCCATTCACTTATTGAACTAATTTTGTATTGGGACACATGTAAATGAAAAAATAATGACACTGTATATATGTGTGTGTGTATATATATACACACACACACACACACACACACACAATTGTCAAAAGTATCAAGAAGCAAAAACAGAGGACCTTTATGCAATTGAAAGTTTGGTCCTGAGTGTCTAGGCCCAGGCTTCACCTAGAAAGGGCTCTTCATTATGCTTATTGAAATGCAAGAATGAATTTATGGTTCATGAGGCTTTTTTTTTCTTTTTAGATTCTCTCTCAGCAATTGCAACAGATGGAAGCTGAGCTGAGCACTTTAAGGAACACTATAGAAACAGAAAGACAGGAGTCCAAGGTTCTGATGGAAAAGATGGAACTAGAAGTGGCAGAGAGAAAACTATCTTTCCATAACCTGCAGGAAGAAATGCATCATCTTCTTGAACAGCTTGAACAAGCAGGTCAAGCCCAGGCTGAACTGCAGTCCCAGCACAGTGCTTTGGAACAGAAGCACAGTGCAGAAATGGAAGAGAAGGCCTCTCACATTTTGAGCCTTCAAAAATCTGAGCAAGAGCTGCACTCTGCCTGTGATGCCCTCAAGGATCAAAATTCAAAACTTCTCCAAGATAAAAATGAACAGGCAGCTCATTCAGCCCAGGTCATTCAGCAGCTGGAAGGTCAGTATCTGAGTGCTTTTGAAGCCCACTTGTGTAGCACCTCAGTAGCTCCTACTGTAAAATTTCAGGTATCTCTTAACATTTGCTTGTTAAGCCAATGGATCTATAGAAGGGTTAAGAAAGGTGTCTCTTCTGAACCCTTTTCTACCATCTCTAACTGAAGTTATAGTCTGACTTAATATTATAATAATCATTATAGTACTAAAAACTACTGATAGTGATGTGTCAAATTTTAAAGTATGCTTTGTGAAGCATTACTGTGGTCTAAAGGGTTCCTTAACTGAAATGAATAGGATTTGAATTAATTTGTGAAAAACTCAATCCAAATCTAGTTGCGAAGGTAGGGAGACTAAATTATATGGAGTCAGCCTTACTTCTAAAGATGGATCTGAATGCTTTTCTTATAGGTGAAAATTTCTTTTTAAAGGAAATTTTTATCCTTTAAGGAGATTTAAGGAAAACTTATTTTTTAAATATGTTATTATTAAAGTATTAATAATACATGTCTCTGATTTAGTTTAATTCTGTTAGATTGGCATACAGGAAAGATTCTAGAAAGCATTAAATTGAAGATCTGTGTTGAAGAAAGCTGAACATTAACCAAAAAGCCTTGCAGGGCATTACATGGGGACAGTGTGTTACCTGAACTTGCTGGTCTCTTAACTGAACCATGCTGATGTTCAAAACTGTGTGCTAGAATCTCAGTAGGATTTTTAATGCTTGTGCGGAGACTGAAGAAAATAAAAAACATGTAGGGCATTTTCAAGGGGGAAAGGAAAAATGACTTTTTAAAAATATACCTAGGCCTGTTTTATTTTGCCTTTGAAGGAGGCTTACTGAGCTGTCCTTTGGTCCTTGAGAGTAATTAAACAGATTATAAAAATGTTGTCATGTAAAATATGCTGGCATTATGTTTTAATTAAGATAATTGAACCAGAATAAACAGCATATGGTCTACCCCTAGAAGATAATAACTCATTAAGTTTTGGATGTAAGCCAAAGATCATTTCAATCTACTTATTTTCTTTTCCGTAGATCAACTCCAGCAAAAATCCGAAGAAATTAACCGATTTCTAAATAAGCCACCATTGCTAAAACATGAAACAGCATCTCAGACTTGTTCGCCAGATGTTTCTCATGAGGGCACACAGGTAATTACATGTGTACTTCTTATGAATATGATCTGTTTGTCTTTGCTGTATGTGTACTTGGGTGTTCTAATAGAATTTATTCTAGAAAGCAGTATAAGCCTTCTGTCTTTTCTGCCTGATAAAATCCTTTTTTTTTTTTTTTGAGGCAATTCCATTTGAAAGGAATCCTGAAAAGTGTCCCAAAAATGAATAATGAGGAAAAAGTAGATAGTGAACACCATGACCTCAGGAGATTTTCTAATTTTAAAATCTTAAAAAAAAATCTTAATATGTTGTATTAGAGAAAAGTCATTAATTTTAATGTTATAATCAATTTTCCCAGTCAGGAGTACAATTTTGCTTTTGGTAGGCTGAGATTTGATCAGGTTTTCAGTATACAATTTAGCCTAACCAAACTTAAGTCTATTGTAAAAGTCATAATGGTCACATTAATCAGCTAATGGTAAAAAGTTTAATTGCCTATTAATTGGCCAGTATATTCTCTCTGCCTTCTATAAAAATCTCTGGGAAGTTATGTTTTAATTGCCAGAAGCTGCTTATTAAGCTTGAATATCATAACAAGGAAAGTTAGTTTGATGACTTAGTTAGTGTCAAGCTGGGATAACTAGATTAATTCATCTCCATTATAAGATTATACCCTTCCAAACTGACAGATACGTTGGTCAGCAGAGTACCACAGTCCCTGGGCAGTACTTTACACTGACAAAAATGTTTGTTTCCTGGTTTTGCCATCTAGGCTTTCCAGTCTCTTCAATTCTCCCATTCTCAACTTTTTGCTCTTATATTTTGTTAAGACATTTTTCAGCAACTCTAAAAAATTCTAAGAATTTTATAGTGAACACTTGCATACCTATCACATAGATTTTATCAATATGTACTATATTTGCATTATCGTTTATCTATCCATTTATTCATCTACCAATTCATCTGAATTTTTTATGTTTCACAGTAAGTTGTAGACATCAGTATATTTTTCTCTAAATATTTTAGCATGCATACCATTGAGTAGATTTTAATATTTATGTATAGTTCTTTTTCTTTGAAGCATGATTTACAAAACACAAAATGTACAAGTATTAAATGTGCTATTCATTGATTGGCATGATAAAATGATGTGCATTTTATCAAATGCATTACTCAAATCCCTTTCAAGACATATCACCTTACACAGTACCCTTTTGCAGTCAACCCCATTACTCTCCTCCAGAGATGAACCAGTGTTCTATTTTTTCACCTTAGATTAATTTTCCATGTTTTATAGCCTATTAATGTAATCATATATCTAACCAAACTTAAGTCTATTGTAAAAGTCATAATGGTCACATTAATCAGCTAATGGTAAAAAGTTTAATTGCCTATTAATTGGCCAGTATATTCTCTCTGCCTTCTATAAAAATCTCTGGGAAGCTATGTTTTAATTGCCAGAAGCTGCTTATTAAGCTTGAATATCAGAACAAGGAAAGTTAGTTTGATGACTTAGTTAGTGTCAAGCTGGGATAACTAGATTAATTCATCTCCATTATAAGATTATACCCTTCCAAACTGACAGATACGTTGGTCAGCAGAGTACCACAGTCCCTGGGCAGTACTTTACACTGACAAAAATGTTTGTTTCCTGGTTTTGCCATCTAGGCTTTCCAATCTCTTCTATTCTCCCATTCTCAACTTTTTGCTCTTATATTTTGTTAAGACATTTTTCAGCAACTCTAAAAAATTCTAAGAATTTTATAGTGAACACTTGCATACCTACCACATAGATTTTATCAATATGTACTATATTTGCATTATCATTTATCTATCCATTTATTCATCTACCAATTCATCTGAATTTTTTATGTTTCACAGTAAGTTGTAGACATCAGTATATTTTTCTCTAAATATTTTAGCATGCATACCATTGAGTAGATTTTAATATTTATGTATAGTTCTTTTTCTTTGAAGCATGATTTACAAAACACAAAATGTACAAGTATTAAATGTGCTATTCATTGATTGGCATGATAAAATGATGTGCATTTTATCAAATGCATTACTCAAATCCCTTTCAAGACATATCACCTTACACAGTACCCTTTTGCAGTCAACCCCATTACTCTCCTCCAGAGATGAACCAGTGTTCTATTTTTTCACCTTAGATTAATTTTCCATGTTTTATAGCCTATTAATGTAATCATATAGTTATATTCTTTTGTATAAAACTTCTTTCACTCAGCATATTTTGAGATTCATTTATGTTATTGCATATATCATAATTGATTGTTTTCTGAGAAGTATTTCATTTTATGAATGTACTGCATTTTCCTTTTGTATGATTGTGCTATAATTTCCTTTTGATAGATACTTGGGTTTTTTATGTTTTGGCTGTTATGAATTAAGCTGCTGTGGACATTCTTGTACAAGTATTTATGTGGACATATGTTTTCATTCATCTTTGTCAAGTGCTAGTTGAGGAGACTCTGGGCCATAGAGTAAGAATGCATTTAGCTTTATTGGGAAATGCTGGATCTTTTGCCAAAGTGATTTTAATATTTATGTGTGTGCTCAGTTGTGTCCGACTCTGCCATCCCATGGACTGTAGCCTGCTCAGCTAGGCTCTTCTGTCCATGGGATTTTTCCAGGCAAGAATGCTGGTGTGGTTTGCTGTTTCTTCTTCCAGGGGATCTTCCCAGCCCAGGAATCGAACCCATGTCTCCTGCATTGGCAGGTGAATTCTTTACCACTGAGCACTTTCTTGCCTAATATATATGAGAGTTCCAGTGGCTTACATCTTCCCTAAGATTTTGTATTGTCAATTTAAAAATTTTAATCATTCTAATGGGTATGTATTAGTAGGTTGTTGGGATTTAAATTTGCTTTTCCCTGATGACAAATGACGTTGAACATGTTTTTCGGAGATCCTTGGACATTTGTATTTCTTGTTTTGGTGAAGTATCTTTTCATGTTATTTCCTCATTTTGAAAGTTGAGGTTTTTTTTTTAACCTATTTGTCAAGTTGTAGTAATTCTTTATGCACCCTAAATGCCAGTTTATTATCAGGCATGTTTGGTGAATATTTTCTCCATGCTGTGGCTTGCTTCTTGTTTTCTTCATAATGCCCTTTAATTAGGAGTCATTTGCAATTTCAGTTTTCTTTTCTGGTTGTAATTTTCTGTGTCCTGTCTCTGAAATCTTTGCTTAACCGCAGGTTATGGACATACTTACTTATATAGGAACATACTCTCTTATATTTTCTTCCACAAGCCACATAGTTCTAGCTTTCAGAGTTAAGACTATGAACCTCAATAAATTTTTATATGTGGTGTAAGATAAAGAGTCAAGGTTTATTTTTTTTCCTATATGGATATCCAGTTGTTTCAGCATCATTTCTTAGAAATACTTTACTTTCCTCATTAGATTGCTTTGTTAACTTTGTTGAAAGCAAATTTATGAGCTTTCTGTTCTATTGATCTGTCATTTCTTATGCCTGTATCACATTGTTTTCATTACTGTAATTTTGAATCAAATATTATAAATCCTCTGACTTTGTTCTTCTTTTTAAGATTTCTTTGATTATTCCAGGTTCTTTACATTTCCAGAGAAATTGTACAGTTAACTTTATCAAATTCTATTTGGAAAAAAAAACTGGATGGGATTTTGAATTAGCATTGTGTCAAATCTATAGATCAGTTTAGGGAGGATTGACATCTTAATACTACTGAACTTTTCATTTCATGAGTATAGTATCTCTCTTCACTTACTAAGATCTTCATTATTTTTTTGATTTAAATTTTATTTTTAATTGTAGAATAATTACAATATTGTGATTGTTTTTGCCATACATCAGCATTAATCAATGGTAGGTATACATATGTTCCCTCCCTTTTGTAGCCCTTTCCCACCTCTCTGCCCTTCCCACCCCTCTAGGTTTTCCCAGAACACTGGCTTTGGGTTCCCTGCATCAGGCAGCAAACTCCCACTGGCTGCTTTACATATGGTGATGTGTATGTTTCAATGCTGTTCTCTCAAATCATCCCACCCTTTCCTTCCCGCACTGTGTCCAAAAGTCTGTTCTAGAAGTGTGTGTCTCCTTTGCTGCCCTGCAAGTAGGCTTATCAGTACTGTCCTTCTAGATTCTACATATTTGTGTTAATATGCAATATTTGTCTTTTTCTTTAACTCACTGCACTCTTTATAATAGGCTCTAGGTTCATCCACCTCATTAGAACTAACTCAAATGTGTTCCTTTTTATAGCAGACTAATATTCCATTATGTATATGTACCACAACTTCCTTATCCATTCATCTGTCTATGGGCATCTAGGTTGCTTTCATGTCCTAGCTATTGTAAATAGTACTGCTGTGAACATAGGGATATGTGTCTTTTTCAGTTATGGTTTCCTCAGAATATAATCTCAGTCATGGGATTGCTGGGTCATCTGGTATTTTTATTCCTAGTTTTTCAAGGAATCTCCATACTGTTCTCCATAGTGGCTGTATCAATTTGCATTCCCACCAACAGTGTAAGTGGGTTCCCTTCTCTCTGCACTCTCTCCAGCATTTATTGTTTGTAGACTTTGATAATTGTCATTCTGACCACTGTGAGATGATATCTCATTGTAGTTTTGATTTGCATTTCTCTAATAGTGTATGCTGTTGAGCATCTTTAATGTCTCTCAGCACTGGTTTGTAGTTTTGGTTGGAGGAGTTATGCATGTTTTAGAATTTATTCTGAAATAGTTCATATTTTTTAATGCTATTGTAGATGGAATTTATTCTCTTTTCATTTTCCAATTGTTTGTTGCTTGTATATAAGTATACAGTTGAATTTTGCTTATGTGAACTTGATATTTATTGTATTAGTTCTGGACTCTTTGTAAATTCCTTAGGATTTCCTGCATAAACAGTCATGTCATCTGCAAATTAAGACAAGTTTACTCCTTTCTAATCTTTATGCCTTTATTTCTTTTTCATTCAATGGCTAGGACATTCACAACATCGTTTAATGAAAGTGGTAATATTGG